CGTGCACGAGGCATCCGTCAGACCTTCACGCTCCCGGACTCTCCGCAGCAAAATGGGATTGCTGAGCGCCGCATTGGCATGGTCATGGACGTCGCTCGTACGTCTATGATGCATGCGGCTGCCCCCCATTTTCTGTGGCCGTTTGCGGTGAGGTACGCGGCACGTCAGATCAACCTTCACCCCAGGGTCTCCAGGCCGGAGACCTCCCCAGCCTTGCTGTGGACCGGGAAGGTGGGCGATGCGTCGGCGTTCCGGGTCTGGGGATCTCGGGCGTTTGTCCGCGACTTGTCTGCGGACAAACTGTCCCCTCGTGCTGCTCCCTGCGTCTTCCTGGGGTTCCCCCCAGACGCGCCTGGGTGGCAGTTCTACCACCCCACCTCTCGCCGTGTTCTGTCCTCTCAGGACGTCACGTTCGACGAGTCGGTACCCTACTACCGCCTCTTCCCCTACCGCACTCCGTCCCCCCCCCCGCCCCCGCTCTTCCTTGTACCAGATCCCCCCCCGGTAGACCCCCTCCCCCCTCAGGGTCCTGCCCCTTCAGGTGTGTCCCAGGTAGACGCAGTCGAGCCTGTCGAGGTCACTGGTGACTCTGGTGCTGCTGGGGGTGCTGAGCCTGGGGGTGCTGGGCCTGGGGGTGCTGGGCCTGGGGGTGCTGGGCCTGGGGGTGCTGAGCCTGGGGGTGCTGAGTCTGGGGGTGCTGAGTCTGGGGGTGCTGAGCCTGGGGGTGCTGAGCCTGGGGGTGCTGAGCCTGGGGGTGCTGAGCCTGGGGGTGCTGAGTGTGGGGGTGCTACGCCTGGGGGTGCTTTGCCTGGGGGTGCTGGACCTGGGAGTGCTGCGCCTGGAGGTCCTCCGCCTCGAGTTTCTACGCGTGCTTTGTCTCGCCGGGAGCCACTCTCTCCACAGGAGCTGCGCGAGTGGTTTGCCCGGCGCTGGAGCCGTGCTGCTGGTGCTGGTGGTTCGTCGGCTACTGAGGGTGCTGCTGTTGCGGGTCCCGGAGGTGCTCGTACTGGGAGTACTGGAGCTGCTGGGCCTGCGGGTTCGACTGGAGCTGGTGCTGCTGAGGGTGTTGGCACTGAGACTACCACTGGCGGTACTGCTGGGGGTGCTCCTGGTGTTGCTCGAGGTTCTGGAGCTACTGGAGGTGCTGCTGGAGCGGGTGCTCCTGCTGGGGGTACTGGTGCTGTCCCTGCTGTTTCTGGCGTAGCTACGCGGCCTCGACCGTACTTCGTTCCACTCCTGCAGCAGGTTCTTGGTCTTCCGCCCTCTCCTGGTCCTCCTCCTCTCTTGGAGGGTCCACAGCCTGTCCCGTCGCGGTCACTGCTACAGCCTACCTCCCCTTTGCCTGCTCCTTCTCCCTACACTGGTCCTACTGGAGGTCTTACTGAGCGTCGTGAGCCTGCGTCTCGCCCTGCGTCGCCTGTCCGTGCTGCTCGCGCTAGTGGTCGTGGTTCGCGTCAGCGTCCTCCTCCTGTCCCTGGCACGCACAGGATGTCTCTGCGTCCGTCTACTGCCCCTCTGCGTGCCCCTTTGCCTTCTCCTCCTGAGTCCTCTCTTCCTGCTCTTCCCGACCCTGCGTCGGACTCTCTTCGTGCTGCCAGTCCTACTGTCACGCGTCTCCTTGCTACTGTCGTCACTGACCCTTTCTTCGAGTCTACTGCTACGTCTGCCCTAGTTACTGAGCTCGTCGACTTTGCTGCTCGCTGTCACCTAGACTACGCTGCTAGTCTTGTCGCTGAGTCTGGGTCTGCCTGTCCTCCGTCAGTCGGGGGTGAGTGTGCCCTTGGCACGGACGTCCTTGAGGACAGGCAGGAGGAGTTCCAGTGTCTGGCAGCTGCTTCACCTCATCTCGTGTCCGTACTGCTTACCCCTGAGGGAGACCCGGATGCACTTGACATCCCGACTCCGCGCTCTTACGCGGAGGCGATAGAGGGTCCCTACTCCTCTCAGTGGCAGGCAGCTATGGATGCAGAGATTGCTTCCTGGAAGTCCACAGGCACCTACGTTGACGCTGTCCCCCCTCTTGGGGCGAACATCGTCAGTGGCATGTGGATCTTCAGGGTGAAGCGGCCGCCGGGTTCTCCGCCTGTCTTCAAGGCACGTTACGTGGCTCGTGGCTTCAGTCAGCGACAGGGAGTTGACTACTTTCAGACCTTCTCCCCCACCCCGAAGATGACAACTCTTCGGGTGCTGCTACACGTTGCTGCTCACCGTGACTACGAGCTGCACTCTCTCGACTTCAGCACTGCTTTCTTGCAGGGCAGCCTGCACGAGGAGATCTGGCTGCGCCGCCCACTTGGCTTCACTGGGTCTTTCCCTCCTGGTACCCAGTGGAGTCTCCGGCGTCCAGTCTACGGTCTCCGCCAGGCGCCACGTGAGTGGCATGACACACTGAGGACTACGCTTGCGGCTCTTGGGTTTGCTCCTTCTACTGCCGACCCGTCGCTGTTTCTACGCACCGACACCTCTCTGCCGCCGTTCTACATCCTCGTGTACGTCGACGACTTGGTCTTTGCCACAGCTGACACTGCTGGACTCGCCCACGTGAAGTCCGAGCTGCAGAAGAGACACACGTGCACAGACCTGGGTGAACTGCGCAGCTACCTTGGCTTGCAGATCACCCGGGACAGAGCACGTCGCACCATTACCCTGACTCAGTCACACATGGTGCAGCAGGTCCTTCAGCGCTTCGGCTTCACGTACTCCTCGCCTCAGGCCACTCCTCTGCCTACTCGCCACTCACTCTCAGCTCTGCCTTCGGATGAGTCCGTAGAGTCGAGTGGCCCGTATCCAGAGCTTGTTGGCTGCCTCATGTACCTGATGACCTGCACACGACCTGACCTTGCATACCCTCTTAGCATTCTTGCACGCTATGTTGCTCCTGGGAGACACCGACCAGAGCACATGGCTGCAGCGAAGAGGGTGTTGCGCTACTTGTGCAGTACGTCGGGCATGGGACTAGTGCTTGGAGGGCGGAGTCCAGTGGTCCTCACTGGGCACGCGGACGCTTCTTGGGCTGACGACCAGGCTACGCAGCGGTCATCGCAGGGTTACACCTTCAGTCTTGGTTCCGGCTCTGTCTCGTGGCGAGCTACTCGCTCGTCCTCTGTTCTCGGCTCCAGTTGTGAGGCTGAGATCTACGCCGGGGCCATGGCTGCACAGGAGCTTCGCTGGCTCACCTACCTGCTGACTGACCTTGGAGAGCCGCCTCGTTCTCCTCCAGTGCTGTACGTAGACAACAAGGCCATGCTGGCCTTGTGTCGAGAGCAGCGCTTGGAGCACAGAACGAAGCACATTGCTCTCCGTTACTTTCTTGCTCGTGAGCTGCAGCAGCGTGGTCAGTTGCGACTTGCGTACGTGGCCTCTCAGGCCAACACTGCTGATGTGTTCACCAAGGCACTTGCGCCTTGTGACCATCAGCGCTTCTGCACTCAGCTGGGTCTTGTACCTGTCTTGCCTCACTTGCTCTCCTCTTGACCTTACTTGTACTGTCACATATATATACCTGCTCTTGCTTGTCTAGCTCTATATATATATATGTGTACTCCTGCATGTGAACTGGCCTTGTGGCCTTGTCGTTGTGCTCGGACTGTGTGGTGACGTTGTGATCCACCCTGAGCTTGCTCTGCTTTGCTTGACTGGTCTTGTGACCCCTTGTTCTCCCCCACTTTGCCTATGGGGGTGTGTCAGAACATTATATAGCTTATGCTGTTGTGTAGGCTATAGTGGGGTATCCCATAGGGGGTACAACCCAATTAGGGTTTTCTATATGTACTCACCTCATTCATAGTTCATTCATCCTCGTTCTTCATTCTTCTCAGCGACGTCACGATGACTCGCCACCAGTCCATGGCGGGGCCCCTTAGCAGCGAAACGGCATACCGGATCTTCGCTGCGTCCGACTCGACGTAATTCGCGTCGAAGAAGACGTTCATCGTGAAGACCCACGATTGAACCGTCGGACCTCCACGCTGGCTCGGGTCGAAGCAGGGCGGGCGTTGCGGCTTGAGTGGCATTGGTGCCATAATGGTCTGTTCGCCACTTGTCGCCGCGAACTCCACGTGCTGACGGGCTTCGCGAGGCTCCCGCGGGCTTGGTGCGACCCTGTTTCCTCCCATGCCAGGCATCGGCTGGGCGGCGCCATCGCTGGCTGCGCCTGAGCGCTGTCCCACGCTGTTGTTTTGTGTTGGTGTGCCGGACGAGATGACGATCGGCTCATCTGATTGTGCAGATGCATTTGTCGGTGCGTGTGGTGGCGCTGGAGTGTTCATCGTTGATTGCTGACGCGCGGAGTCACGTTCCGCCGTGAGCGTCGCAATTTCGAGCGCCGAATCTTCAAGTTGGCGCACCAGACGGTCGAACTTCTCCTGCGTCAATGTGGCGAGCGTGAATTCGGCCATGGCGGGGGTGTCGGGCGAGCTCAGCGAGAGCCTCGGTCGTGGCCGTGCGTGCTTACGAGAGAGCACTACGAGCGGCGGTGCTGTGTCGCTGAGAGACGTCTACCCCCCCCAAAAAATTGAGATAGTGGGGAAGCAAAGGTGTGGGTGCGGTCCGAGAGGAGATCGTAGGCTCTGAATACCAGGTGTTACGAGTGCAATTGAGTGAACGAACGAGAATTGCACTATCGAAGCAAGAGTCCAAATGAGCGAAGGCATGAGCGAAGAATATATAGCGAAACTACAGTGGTAACGGTAATGGACAGTGGTTGTCGCGCGACGGGCCTGAGACTGAGGTTGGGAAAAATTGTCGAAGCGGAGGCCCGGAGCGCGGGTTACCCGCCGAGCCGTGAGGTCGGGGTGCGATGTGTGAAGGTGGCGGGCGGATTGTCGATGCGAGGGTTGCGAGTGGTAACGGTGCTGACTGTGGTGCTACAGTGATGTACGCGTTGAGCAGAGATGCGAAGTAAGGAAAAGGAATTTTCCTTACATATAAGAAACATATGAAAGAACATTATATATTATACTAATGGAGAAGACATATTAGAGAAAAGTATAATTAAGTACATGTTTGTACGCTTGTCTAGTAGTAAAAGGTAACGATTCGGACAGTGATGATATTTTTTATTATAATAAACAATATTTTTTAGCTCCATCTTACTATATTGCACCATCCAATTATTATAGTGGGTTCGTTGTTTTCAGCTGTTGTTTGATAACGTAGTTATGCGTGTGTTTTACGTGACACAGCTTTCAAATTAGTATCTTGCTCATATTTCTACATATACACCTAAATGAATTATTGTCCATGCCAAGTTGTTTATTCTGCCCTAACAATACAATCACCTTAACAATGTGAATCGCATCTGCCCCATACATTACACACTATTCTAACGAGAAACAATTGTATGTTTTCCTTTCACACTTGTCAACTCCAATTTGACGCTCCTCTCTTCTTGGTTCTTGGTTCTTGATTTTGGTTCTTGGTGAGTTCTTGGTTCTTGGTTCTTGTGACTACCTAGCTATCCCGTTTTCTCCAATCCCGGTATCCTCTCCCTCCCATCCCGCCAGCGCCTCTCCCTCCTCCCAACCGCCGTCGCCTCTCCCTCCCATCCCGCCATGGCCTCTCCCTCCCGCCCCGTCATAGCCGCTCCCTTCCTCCTCGCCGTCGCCTCTCCCTCCCTTCCCGTCGTCGCCTCTGGTGGGTGCACGAGCGTGAGCGCGTGTTGCTGAACGACCTCGCGTTGTTTTCACCGTTGTCTCAGGTGCGTAGAAGTTTCTCGGACCTTTTTACCTCCCTCCTTTGCTTAGGTTTTCTACTTTCTTCGTGAGTTCTCTATGCCAAGATTTCTTAGCATTACACTCCCATTGCTCTCCTCTTTGGTCGCCTAATGCGCTGGCGCCTAGCGCGCTGGCGCCTAACGCGCTGGCGCCTAGCGCGCTGGCGCCTAGCGCGCTGGCGCCTAGCGTGCTGGCGTCTAACGCGCTGGCGCCTAGCGCGCTGGCGCCTAAGGCCCTGGCGCCTAAGGCGCTGGCGCCTAGCGCGCTGGCGCCTAGCGCGCTGGCGCCTAGCGCCTGGCGCCTAAGGCGCTGGCGCCTTGTGCTCTGGCGTCTAGCGCGCTGGCGCCTAGCGCGCTGGCGCCTAGCGCGCTGGCGCCTAGCGGCTGGCGCCTAACGCGCTGGCGTCTAACGCGCTGGCGCCTAGCGCGCTGGCGCGTATGGCGCTGGCGCCTAGCGCGCTGGCGCCTATCGCGCTGGCGCCTAGCGCGCTGGCGTGTAACGCGCTGGCGCCTAGCGCGCTGGCGCCTAAAGCGCTGGCGCCTAAGGCGCTGGCGCCTTGTGCTCTGGCGTCTAGCGCGCTGGCGCCTAGCACGCTGGCGCCTAGCGCGCTGGCGCCTAGCGGCTGGCGCCTAACGCGCTGGCGCCTAACGCGCTGGCGCCTAACGCGCTGGCGCCTAAGGCGCTGGCGCCTAGCGCGCTGGCGCGTATGGCGCTGGCGCCTAGCGCGCTGGCGCCTATCGCGCTGGCGCCTAGCGCGCTGGCGTGTAACGCGCTGGCGCCTAGCGCGCTGGCGCCTAGCGCGCTGGCGCCTAGCGCGCTGGCGCCTAGCGCGCTGGCTTCTAAGGCGCTGGCGCCTAGCGCGCTGGCGCCTAGCGCGCTGGCGTCTAGCGCGCTGGCGCCTAGCGCGCTGGCGCCTAATGCGCTGGCGATTAGCGCGCTGGCACCTTGCAGCGTGCCGCGCGCTGGTGGCTTGTGCGCTGCTTGTTGCGGCAGTGCGCTGGCGAATTCCATCAGCGGCCTTGCAGCGCTGCGCGCTGGCAAATTATTGCGCACGCCTTGCTCCAGTGAGCTCACGCCTTGCTCCAGTGAGCTCACGCCTTGCTGCAGTTAGCTCACGCCTTGCTGCAGTGAGCTCACGCCTTGCTGCAGTGAGCTCACGCCTTGCTGCAGTGAGCTCACGCCTTGCTGCAGTGAGCTCACGCCTTGCTGCAGTGAGCTCACGCGTTGCTGCAGTGAGCTCACGCCTTGCTGCAGTGAGCTCACGCCTTGCTGCAGTGAGCTCACGCCTTGCTCCAGTGAGCTCACGCCTTGCTGCAGTGAGCTCACGCCTTGCTGCAGTGAGCTCGCGCCTTGCTGCAGTGAGCTCGCGCCTTGCTGCAGTGAGCTCACGCCTTGCTGCAGTGAGCTCACGCCTTGCTGCAGTGAGCTCACGCCTTGCTGCAGTGAGCTCACGCCTTGCTGCAGTGAGCTCACGCCTTGCTGCAGTGAGCTCACGCCTTGCTGCAGTGAGCTCACGCCTTGCTGCAGTGAGCTCACGCCTTGCTACGGCAGCCCGCTTGCTCCTCTGCCGGTGCCTTGCTGCAACTCTCTGGCTCCTTGTAGCATGGTGATGCCCAGCTCGTTGCACCAATGCACCTTGCTCGCTGGAGCCTTGCTGCACACCAGCGTGGTGTGCGTGACCCCAGGGGATCTATGCTTCAAACCACGATTGTGAGTCGTAAAATTCGGTTTCCTTTTGTACTTATCATATTTCAGCCCATACTTGTTTTTCAAGTTCCATTTCACAATCAAGTGCATGCTCGTAATTGAATACTTCACTCCGTTTTCCGACCACAATTCATTTTCTACTTGACCTGTTTGTTTTGCAAGGTGTGTGAGACGCGTCGTGGGGAGCACTGAGGGGAATTCGAGAGAGAAGACAATGTGGAAAAGGGTGGGAGGAGATTTTGATGGTAGAGGAAGGAAGGCGGAAAGGGGGAGGAAGTGGGGACAAGGTAGCAGTGATTGATAATAATTAACTTATTGCAACTCTTTGTTATGCTTGTCTGCTTTCAATCCTATTTGTGTATGCGTGTGTGTGCCGTGCGGGTGTGTTTGTGCGGGTGTGTGTTCATGTCTTCTCGTTATGTTTGTTTCACTGTGGGGTTGCATGGTTTGTCGGTTACCGTATGTGGGTTGAACGTTTGTTACGTGTGTTTGCATTCGTGTTTGTGGGATGTGTGTTTCAAAGTGTGGTGTTAATATGTGTCATGTATGCAATTAGAGGTTGTTAATCGTCTTTGGGGCAGCGTGTTTTCGCTGTTTCAACGACCCCATCAACCTCTGTTGTTGCATGATGCATTTTAACATTCACTTTGTAGCATCCACCCACATTTCATACTTTGTTGTTCATCTGTACAATCATGTTGAAGCCAGAATATTATGCTCGGCCGTACCATCCGCCGTATTAATCGACGATGCTGGGACGGTCGAACAAGTTCATGGTTTCAACATGATACGCACGTGCATAGTATTTGGTTTCACATTTAGGGATATCATTCAAGAGTGGTTTTTATTCATTCTTTGAGGCATCCGTTTGAACACAGTTTCAGAAAGTTCAAACAGTTGCTCCAAAGAGTGCATGGAAAATCACAGTTGAAATGATATCCCCAAAATGTGAAACCAAATATAAAGGGTTGCTACGCAACCCAAAAAAAGAGGAGTAAGGAAACGTTCAACGCTAAACGGCGCTCTTGCTAACAGTTGCGGTGGGCCGTGGCTATTAACTAGTGCTACAGAATGAAGCAACAAGAACCAAGAAAACCTGAATCGCTAGTGAAATGATAATTTTTAAACACACGAAGTGTTTTTCAAAATTACGTATTTCGAAAGCGCAGCTGCCTGTAACGCAGATTTGGCATCGTCGAAGCGCGCTAAACGCCCTTCTCCAACTACAAAACGTGGGTTGGAGCTCATTTCCCTCCACCCACGTCTCTCATTTTCCAACGGCTCATGCAACTCTCAGTTCCTCGAGCTCATTTCTAGTTTTCCGTTCAAGCTGGCTAGAACTCGCTCTCTACCGAGAGGCGTTTCACCTTCAACTTTATTAGCTGACATTCTCAACCACAACCGCGCGAACAACACCGTCGTCAACGACTCGAATATTTCCGATACCGATCGTAACGCCCGGGAAATGTCGGGCGAGCGCCGCAACAAGCGCCGGGCAGACGGCGAAACGTCCGCCCCAACAGCTGTCGACGTGCTGCTGGGCGGGCTCGAGGTCAACAAAAACGCCGAGCGGCACCAGCAGCACCCTTCGGCGCCTGTTGCGCCAGTGGCACCCGTGGCACCAGTGGCGAACGGGGCGCCACACGCGACTGACGCGGAGCACGCGCCTGAGGCACACGCGCCCCACAGGCAGTCGCGTCAGCGCCAGAGGCGCCGTACGGCCGCCTCGTCTGACGCGACCGTTGACCCGGACTTGACCCAGACGTTGACCCCGGACCAAGTCAAGGCGCTCCTGTCCCTGTTACAGCATCGACCCGCCAGCGCAATTGAAGCCGAAACTACACAACCGGCGGCATCAATTTCGGCTAAAAACGAAAATTCGAAAAAGGAGAAGGGAGCGAAAGGAGCATCAACACGCCGCCACAACAAGGAGGTAGCTACCAGCGTTCCCGAAGCCGCAGCCGACGACCACGACTCCGACGACGACGCTGGTGAGGCTCCGATCAACGCAGCAAATGTCACATCCATGGAAAATCTCCCCCCCCTTCCTTCCACCACCCCCACCTTTTCGGCGGCAAACTTCATGAAGGCGTTCGTGCGCGCGAAGGCGGAGCCCCTGGAGGACGTGAGGGCCTACCTGAAACACGCGGAGTACAAGCTGCAGCACGACGACACGGCGGGCGGACTCGAAATGGTCATGAACGCCCTCGACTACATTTCGGAGCGTTTTGTGATGTTTCAAGTCGAGGACCACACCGACGACCGCGTGGCAAAGCGATTCAAGCTCTACCAACAGAAGAGTCTCCTGACTTCCCGCCCGTTCAAGCAGGCGGTAGCTGATGTGGCGGCTATGGATCGCGCGGAGGGCGCGTACGCTCGTTCCCACCGCGTTGGAGGGCATGGGCCGACGGCATACACCCCAAAGCGTGGACCGCCGCCAACGGGTGGCTTCCATGGCTTCCGTCGGGCGTGCTTCCTGAGAAGAAACGAGGAATGAAATGACTAAGTGAAAATTGGGTACAAGAAGCAAACCCTAGAAAACTGTACCCCATATGTGCTACCCCACTATAGCCTACAGTAGCTATGTCATATAAATCTGACACACCCCCATAGGCAAAGTGGGGGAGAACAAGGGGTCACAAGACCAGTCAAGCAAAGCAAAGCAAAAACAAGCTCAGGGTGGATCACAAAGTCACCACACATTCCGAGCACAAGTTCAAGGCCACAAGGCCAGTTCACAAGCAGGAGTACACATATATATAAAAAAAAAAAGGCTAGACAAACAAGAGCAGGTATATATATATGTAACAGTACTAGCAAGGTCAAGAGGTGAGCAAGTGAGGCAAGGTAGGCACAAGGCCAAGCTGAGTACAGAAGCGCTGATGGTCACAAGGCGCAAGTGCCTTGGTGAAGATATCAGCAGTGTTGGCCTCAGAGGCCACGTACGCAAGACGCAGCTGACCACGCTGCTGCAGCTCACGAGCAAGAAAGTAGCGGAGAGCAATGTGCTTCGTTCTGTGCTCCAGTCGCTGCTCCCGACACAAGGCCAGCATGGCCTTGTTGTCTACGTACAGCACTGGAGGAGAACGAGGCAACTCTCCGAGGTCAGTCAGCAGGTAGGTGAGCCAGCGAAGCTCCTGTGCAGCCATGGCTCCTGCGTAGATCTCAGCCTCACAACTGGAGCCGAGAACAGAAGACGAGCGAGTAGCCCGCCACGAAACAGAGCCGGAACCAAGGCTGAAGGTGTAACCCTGTGACGACCGCTGCGTAGCCTGGTCGTCAGCCCAAGAAGCGTCTGCGTGCCCAGTAAGGACCACTGGACTCTGCCCTCCAAGCACAAGCCCCATGCCCGACGTACTGCACAAGTAGCGCAACACCCTCTTCGCTGCAGCCATGTGCTCCGGTCTGTGTCTCCCAGGAGCAACATAGCGTGCAAGAATGCTAAGAGGGTATGCAAGGTCAGGTCGTGTGCAGGTCATCAGGTACATGAGGCAGCCAACAAGCTCTGGGTACGGGCCACTCGACTCTACGGACTCATCCGAAGGCAGAGCTGAGAGCGAGTGGCGAGTAGGCAGAGGAGTGGCCTGAGGCGAGGAGTACGTGAAGCCGAAGCGCTGAAGGACCTGCTGCACCATGTGTGACTGAGTCAGGGTAATGGTGCGGCGTGCTCTGTCCCGAGTGATCTGCAAGCCAAGGTAGCTGCGCAGTTCACCCAGGTCAGTGCACGTGTGTCTCTTCTGCAGCTCGGACTTCACGTGGGCTAGTCCAGCAGTGTCAGCTGTGGCAAAGACCAAGTCGTCGACGTACACGAGGATGTAGAACGGCGGCAAAGAAGTGTCGGTGCGCAGAAACAGCGACGGGTCGGCAGTAGAGGGAGCAAACCCAAGAGCTGCAAGTGTAGTCCTCAGTGTGTCGTGCCACTCACGCGGTGCCTGGCGGAGACCGTAGACTGGCCGCCGTAGGCTCCACTGGGTGCCAGGAGGAAAAGACCCAGTGAAGCCAGGTGGGCGACGCAGCCAGATCTCCTCGTGCAGGCTGCCCTGCAAGAAAGCAGTGCTGAAGTCAAGAGAGTGTAGCTCGTAGTCACGGTGAGCAGCTACGTGCAGCAGTACCCGAAGAGTGGTCATCTTCGGGGTGGGAGAGAAGGTCTGAAAGTAGTCAACTCCCTGCCGCTGACTGAAGCCACGAGCCACGTAACGCGCCTTGAAGACAGGCGGAGAACCCGGCGGTCGCTTCACCCTGAAAATCCACATGCCACTGACGATGTTCGCCCCAGGAGGGGGAACAGCGTCAACGTAGGTGCCTGTGGACTTCCAGGAAGCCATCTCTGCGTCCATAGCTGCCTGCCACTGAGAGGAGTAGGGACCCTCTATCGCCTCCGCGTAAGAGCGCGGAGTCGGGATG